TTTGGCTTGAGACTGTTGTCTGACTAACACCTACTAGAGCAAATAGTGCATCAGCCTGCATGGCTTGTCTGCTGGATCCTTATGTCGCTGCTGCTGCGGTAGCTTTTACTAACACTTCCTCCACTGTTGCTGCTGCCTTTCAGACCCAACACTACACATTGCTTTCGGTGGAGTCATATGACCTTTTACACGGCAGCCTCTCTAAGGGCTCTGCGCCATGCAGTCCCTGTTAGTCAACTCCCTCCTACTCACTGCCACATCCACTCATCAGCTATAGCAGACCACTGTCTACACTAGTGTCCTCACTGGAACCTACCACAACTTAGGATCTGACCGATTTGTAAAATAAATATAATAAAATAAATATTTGGTTTGTATCTCAGAACACAACTCAGGCGGTGTCAATGAAAAATATACAGACCCATGCAAATGATCTACGTTCTACTCCGATTACTTCTCGTATAGCAGCAATAAACAGAACTGGCAATGGTAGACTACTACAGTTCTTATATAAAGTTGTCTATCAGGTGCTAGCAGTCGGTCACATTTCAACTAATCAAAATAAAAACAAATCATTTGCGCAAATGCATGTGGAAGTGGAGATAAAAATAATAATAATATTCGAGCACCGGTTGGAATTTTCCTTCCTCTGTATCCAACGTGCATGTCTGCATCATCAAGCAACAATATCTAAGATGTGCATTACGGCCCACCCCTGTGCCCAGGAATTTGCATATGACCAGTATTGCCCCTTTCTTTATCCTCGCATGACTGATCTGGCTGATCAAGAGGCAGTTTAAGGACAGCCCCCAAGGTCCTTAGGAATTCTTTAAGGTCGCAAACAGGACGACGACCACAACCAGTGTACAGTTCAAATCCCTGCCAAAAATATTCATAGACAGTCTGGTAAAAGTCTGCATAGGACTGGTCAGTCCGCAATCCCTCTATCAGCGCAGCAAAGAGTCGTAAAGGACAAAGCAGCATGGCTTGCGTGTACTACTCCCATGGGTTGGCATGGCGACCGTGACCCATGCTTCGACCAGGGCCCTTCAGAGGCACTGCCCTCTCCTGCCAGATGCGCCACCGGGAAGAATGTCGTCTCTCGAGATAGAGCGCTCACGACTCCTTACTGAAGAGAGGACACTCAAGGTTGACTCACTTCCCCACGATAAGAAGAGATTGAGAGGGAAGATAAGGTAAGGGAATAACGTACCTGAAGATAGATGCCCCCAACCACAGATTTCTCACCAATTGAGTCGACGTGCATTTTGATGACCGGTCACAGCCTCAGTACCACAAACAATACAATGTCGTGTCACCTCAACCAAAATGCCATGTCAGCACACTCTCATCATCCCGCAAGCATCTGCTGTCACCACAGCCTTCCAGCCCCTCACCCCTCTACTCGGGGGGGGCTAATCAAGCCGACCCCAAGGTATCGTCACTGCATAGAAGCTTCGTCGATGCACCAAGACACCAACGCCAGAATGCAATATCCGAACCAGCTCCGATACCAAATTGCAAGGAACATGAGTGAGATTGATAGACAGAAATCCAAGTTACAACATCACGAAGTAGCCAGATAGTCATGTACCAAGCAGAGAGCACAATGCACCAATACCAGCCAAATAAGAGCAATACAATGAACTTGTGTGCCAATGTCGACACTCTCTGGTCACACCAACACAGTATCCAATGTCGCTCCTACTATCTGGCGCCCAGCGCCCAGCCTACACTACTCAGCCTATCTAACCCTATCTATGTTCATGCAACTCGATCACATCGAAGTCGAAGACCAATGTACATGACGCCATCACCAAAGCAGACCGCCAGCATACACCAGGTACGTGTCTCTTCTCCTCTCACATCACCCTTGACTGCCCCACAATGTGCATCCCCGATACCCAAAGACCACCATCGCCATCCAAACCTGCGCCCAGCAGCCCGGCTATGGCTGCCATACACCCACTGCCCATCAGTGCACCTCACACCCCAGCGCCCGTGCGCGCGACCCAGCTAGCAGCTTCGTGCAGATCACAAAGTTGCAACGGAGCAGCGTGGCCGCATTGCCTGCCTAGGCCAGAATGCCTGGGCCTCCACTTAACCCCAAAAGGAGGGGCTATAGCGGACGACCTGACAATCGCATGTGAAAACATAGTAGTAAGTATGTCTGAATTGCGTAGGTTAATAGATGATTACTGTGTTTTGTCCTCAATAAATTGGGATAAGTCTTGTTTTCTTCCTCCCCACCTCCTTCGAAATTTGTGTCAATTGGGGCCTGCGACAGATTCTGGCTAACTCTGCAGACAGATTTTTGGGCATCCAAGTTTCCTTTTCGAACGTCGCGAAGGTTCAAGACAACATTTTGGCGGACAAGGTAGTGGCCAGAATTGCTGGTTGGGATCGGTGCACTCGCCTCTCCCTCTTGGTAAGAGCTTTGGTGGTGTCCACGTCCGCCTTCTCTCTCCTATGGTTCCCATTAACCATACATGCGTTGGGAGACAGTGCCTACAAAAAGATTAAGTCGGCAGCAGCAAGGTATTTATGGAAACCAGATGCTGCAGAGGATCAAGGTTTCTTATCTAAGGTAGCATGGGAAGTGGTGGCGACCCCAAGGAAGAAGGGCGATCTGGGAATCTTGGATCCACTACAGCAGAACATAGCCTTGTTGGCTAAATGGCCAATACAGGCTATGTTGGAATCAGGAACGAAGATTTGGATGATGCTTGCAGAATACATCCTGGGAACAGATTGGGATTTGCAAGATCATTCTAAAGTGTGGCTGTGTATGCTCCTGCCATCCTTCTGCAACCGCCGCCCAAGTTCCAAGATATGGAGGGGTGGGGTATTTTGGGAGCCTGGAGCAAGATCAAACCAGTGGACTCACTCCCTCCGACCTCCAAACAAAAAGTGCTTAATCAAGTGCTGTTTGAGAACCCCCGCATTCTGCAATCAAATGGCTTGGGGTTTTCGACATCAGACTCCCCTGGGAACTTTGGAGGATGGATCAAGAAGGGAGTCCTTCAGTTCAAGGATATCTGGGACCCCCTACATTCAAGGTTCCTGAATGCAGTCCAGCTCAGGCAAAAGCTTCCAAGACTTTATAATGTGTCCGCTCACTACGCGGAACTAGTCGAAGCCATTCCTGCCGCGTGGGTGAATCTACTTCAACCTGACATGGAACATCCAGCGGGGACTTGGCTCCACTCAAGGACTCATCCGACTCAAATCATGCAGGTCTAAGGCCCGGACCCGCCATCAGCATTCAGGGTCCAGCTTTGGGGGGTCCCTACTGGGGAACCTAACTCTCAGGGTTGATGGCGACCAACGTATAGACGACACAAACGACTTGACGGAGGCTAGGGTTCACCAATAGGAATCAAGACAAAGGAAAATGAGTGCCACGCTCTTGTGCGATGCAGATAACTTTCGACTAGAGCCATTACTCTGGGGATGGAAGGACCAAAAAGGTAAAAGCAAATACACCCCCCTGAGCCTATATCGTCCAAAGGGGGGTGTACAGTTGCAGCAAGCCAGACTGAAGAAGAAAGCCGCGGAGTTGGCAGTGCACAGGGCGGAGTCTCAACAGTTGGCCGGTGTTACAGAGCCTGCCCGGCCCTGCTAAAGTTTTGGAAAGCACTGATGAAATATCCAGTTCAGAAGCAGGCCAGCATCATGTGGCTCCATTCGCTTATGGTAACCGCAACGGCCATGTGGCTTTCAACCAGAGGGATGGGTGTCCCTACACAGTGCCTGAGATGTAACTGGGGCTGGGAGAACATGATTCATCTGTGGTTAGTTTGTGCCCTGGCCAATGAAATAGTAATGTGGTGGAAGACTCATTGGTAGAATAGTGGGAGGAAGGTTTGAGTGGTCGGATTTCTGGATGCTTACTGGCATACTCCCTCCAGGTTCTAACTACTACTCCTACTGGGGCTACGTGGCCCTCTGCTGCAGAGGTGTACTGATGGAAACCATCTGGGCTGCTAGGAACTCCAGAGTCTTCAGAGGAGAAGAAGTGGGTGAAAAGGCACCAGCAACTTCAGATTAATCAGAGTATCAGGAGGATTATCCAAGCGGATTGCCCAGGAAAACGGTGTTTAGAAACGACATACCCTTTGCCAAGCACCCTTTTCTGAAAATACCCTTTTTCAAACACCCTTTTCTTTTCTTTTTTTTTCTTTTTTTTTCTTTTTTTTCTTTTTCTTTCTTTTTTTTCTTTTTYTTTYTTTYTTTTTTTTTTTTTTTTTTAAATGCACAGAGGCTCCGTCTATTGGTGGGGAGCAGCMCCTGCTGGAAACCTGGTCCAGCGTCTCATTTACAAAATATTAAGATAAAGTTATGGATAGAGTTTGGAACAAAGACCTTAGAAACTTCTGAGTTCCACCAGCATTGATTGCCCGGGGGGAACACCCTTTTCGCAAAGAGGTGCGACACATAACACATAACGTCCTTTGTTCTATTCCTTCATCTTGTGCTCCTACGGGTCTTTGCTGATCGTCATCTCGAGTGACAGTGTGTATCTTTTTCCTCTTTTTTTTTTATTTTTCTGGGGGGGAGGGGGGGGGGGGAAGGGGGAGGTGACAGTGTGTATCTTCATCTCTGTGTACGTGACATGCATGTAATTTTCCCTATTCCCTCCCCCGACTAATAAGGATACAGGGACACTTTTTCCTTTGAAAAAAGCAAATAGAAAAGAAAAAAAAAAAAGGGAAAAAAAAAAACACCCCCTTTTTCTGAAAACACCCCTTACTGAGTTTCTTTGGGGGAAAAAAAAAAAAAAAAAAAAAAAAAAAAAAAAAAAAAAAAAAAAAAAAAAAAAAAAAACGCCTTCCCCCCCCCAACCCTCCTTTTCGTAAACACCCCACGTCTTTCTAAACCACCACCCTTCAAGTGACTCTCACCTTCCATTCTTTGTCTTTTATTCTTTTTTTCTTTTTCTTTTTCTTTTTTTTTTTTCTTTTTCCTTTTTTTTTTTCTCTCTTTTCCCTGAATCTCACCTTCCATTCTTGGCATAGGCGTTTAGAAGTGCGTTGTACGCATACACATTTGGCATGCACCCGGCGCTCTCCATCGAGTCAAATAATGATTTGGCGTATCGAAGAAGCTTATCTGATCTTCCTAAGATGGATATCATCAACGTGTACACGTGTACATCGGGACGCAGTTGGTCGTGACAGGTCATCCAATCAAACACTTGCCAGGCTCTTCTCCAATCCCCCGCCAAACTCAGCTGCTTCAGCACAGCCGTCAGGTCGTACAGCGAGACCTGACTTACCCACTTGTCCAGATACCGACCCAGCTCGACCGCCAGGGGAAGGCCATCCAACTCCTCGAGAAACGCGCGCACTTCCTTCCGCAAAGAGGACGAGCGCGCACTAAGCGCCGCCGGCGCGGCTCCTCCTCCGCCGCTGGGCATGCGCTGCTGCGCCGCCCGCTGCGAGCGAAATGGCGGTGCCGGCGGACGCGCCGAAGCGCGCCGCGTGGGCGGCACATCATTCCCCCTTCGGTCGGGATCCCGATCCGCACCAGACTGCTTTTTCGCCTCCGAGTCGGGACCCCGATCCACACCAGACGGCTTTTTCGCCTCGGGACCCCGGCCCGCACCCGACTGCTTTCTATCCAATGACGATGAAGAGGAAGGCAATGATGATGACGGATGTACGGAGAAGGAGGAGGAAGAGGAGGAGGAGGAGGCGGAGGAGGAGGAGAAGGAAGGGGAGGAGGAGCTAGACGAGAAGGAAGAAGACAATTGAGGCAATCGCTTGAGGCGAGGAGATAACGACACGTGGCGAGTTCGCACGACCGAGCGATGGCTGCACCAACACCGGGAAAAGGCCTTCGTCCCCACCCGATCCCGACAAAGAGCGATATCTGGTGCTGCTGAAGAGAAAAGGCAATATTGAATTCCCGCCATCTCTCGAATTCCCGCCATCTCTCGAACTCCGGACAGCTCGAGACAGCTGGCCGTGGCCATCGGGATGCGCCGCAGTTTGGGACATCTGCTCCTCCACGTCAGCGGTCCCGGTCGTCCCACCTGAGTGCCACGTGGCGCTCTTCTCCTGACGACGAGTGCGAAAAATGCAAGACCTTCACCGCAGCACACAGACCACTTACTGACACGTGTAACCCTCCTGTTGTTCTGCCCATCTCATTAACGTTCCAGAAGCAGGGTAATGGTCCTGGCGTATTTTTAGGGGGATGAGGTCCCTTTAGTATAGTAAACGGGATTGGATTCAATGGATGAATCTAGACGTGCTTCCGGACAGCTGCACAACAACGCTATTGATCTGCTTTTCCGCATCGTTGCATACAACGCGCCCAGATTCAGGCATGAGGAGATAATCCAACCCTCTTTGCCACCGGTAGCGGGACCTCGCCGAGGGCACGGCAACCCGCCATTACCACCGTTGTTGCCGTTGTAGCGTTTTTTTTTGTTGGGATAATTTGCAAAAGGCCCCCATAAGCTGAGATATATGCCAAAATGGCCCTCAAAGATGCGGGTAGAGCGGAATACCCCTCTGACAAAAAATATATTTTGTGAAATGCCCCTCGCGTCGGTTGGACCCCCGTCTTTGCAATGTACCCCTACCGGGTACCGTCCAACTTTGAAAAAAGCCCCAGTACTTGCCAGCTTTTCCTAGGCGTTATTGCAAAAGGCCAAGGCGCAAACGGGGAGGTCCAGATTGCAATGTTGCACACCGGCCTGACAGGGGCACAACACAAAGATTTCGGCCCTGAAGGGCATTTCGCTCTACCCACCTCTTTCAGGGGCATCTCGGCATAAATATCAACTTATGGGGGTATTTTGCAAATAATCCCTGTTTTGTTCAATCAATTGTTACACCAGGGAAAAGCTGCCCCTTTTTTTCTCCCACGCTGTAGACACACCAGGAACTTTGGGGGCCTGGCTCAGTTGATAAGGCACAGAAGTTGCATTCAGGAGTCGTGGGTTCAATCCTCGTTGGCGTCTGTGCCTGGGCAAGCTTGGTGTTCTACCAGCTAGAGATAACCCGTTGGGCCCCCAAGCCAGCAATGGCAGGACCTTGGCTGATGTTGTTGGATGCTACGCAAGGACAATATTGGCCATTAGACACCGCCATGTGGGGTTTTGAGGGGGGGGGTAGGGGGAGGTGCAGTGACTGGCCATTGCTCGACGCTAGCACCGCTGATTTCCCCCATCGGCAATGCATGCCCACCCCTCGTCACCGTGATGAGGGACTGGTACAGGCTTTCTCTCGCACCACAGTTGTGGTGCCAACCTACCCCATGGGTTGGGGAGAGATCGGGCTTGGTTGGTGTTCCCCCCGTGCTATAACAGGATGAGATAGATGCGTACTACTAAGAAAGATGAAATACATTAGAGAAGAATACAGCTTAGGGGGGAGCTGGTAAGCATTCGATAGCGTCACGTTAGCGCTAAGGCGGCGTTAGTGGAGTCTTAGCGCTCCATGGCGGGTCGACGCTTGGGAGGAAAGCATGCTTGTCGAAGTCATGTGGCCACGCTGTTGAGCGCGGCGGTCCCACACCCAGACGTAAAGTAATTTTTGGTGTCGGACATCACGGTCGCATCACGCAGGAGTTTTAGAAGCGTTTCAGCCAAAGATCAACTCCGACCGTGCACGCCAGTTATATAGTATCTCTCACGACTCCCTGCGACAAGACAGGGACCCTGCGAGGTACAACTCACCTCCACCTGCAGGACCTGTCACCATCCCTTAGGCGGGCGTATCCCTGTTGAGCTACTGACTCACGTGCGAAGGTTTTTTCTTGCAATCGCAGAGGTAAGTCAGTCGAGGGCGTTTGCTCGATCACTGTAGCATAGGCATATGCGCGGTTGAACGCCTAAGACTGACCTATATACATGCCGGGCATCGGGGGAGATGATCTCCCGGACCGACTTATAATTCACGTCGACTCGACTGACGAACGTTCGCGCATTCTATGCTTTGAATATAAATAGTTTCAATATGTATGATTCATAACCTATCTTTTTTTTCGGAGCACGACCCCCGCAACAGTCGGATTTTCAGGGCTCGCTTGTAAGACATTTACCCTACCCTACCTAGTGATTAAGTCCATTCAACACATCTCTTTACAAAAACCCCTTGTCATACCACGCATACATATGAAATGAAATAAGACATTGAGTAATTAGGCAAAAAGATGTCATGTACACTTAACACATTCATATGAACAATCCGAGTTCATCAGGAAAATCATAGGTCATTTGACATTTCAAACATGTATAGATGAAAATGAACATGAAATGAATAAGGTTTTCAGCCTTATCAATAATCCTAGTCTGCTTAACATCAGGGAAAACACAAGGTTGGGATCTCGAACCAAATGTATAAATTCGTGCGTTGATGAAATGTCTAGATCAAGGCCCAAAACATCATAAGTCTTCCAAATGGGTTGCAGTGAATAACATGTGGTTGATCATTTTACTAATCTGCAGACAAGGGTCAATCACATTACACAATTCTGACGGAGTCAACCTTTTATTCACTTCTACCCACATTACACTTACATTTTCAACCTTTCAGTAAGACATCCCCTTTTCGACTTAGTCATTCAGTCATATATGACTTCAGTCATTTCAAGGACCCTTTTCTGACCAAACACAGACCTTTTAGACAATGACCCGAAAAACAAAGATGTCTTTCAGTGCAAAGGTGGATGCAAAGTGTGAGTGTCGAGGGTGAGTGAGGGTTGAGTTGGCTAACCAACCTGTTACCATAAGGCAATCACATATAGTTTTGTATAGACTCATAATGAGTCCTCTTGAAAGTAAAGGTAACCTCCAATCACACACAGGTCAACACGGTCTCAAAACCTCTTCGCCATCGACATAACCCTATCTGAAGTTCAATATAGGAAACTTCATTTTAGTCGGGAATAATACTACATCCACATAACTCCCTCTAGGTAGCCTTACTAACTTCTTATAAGATCAATCTCGAGATAGTCGTCTAAAAGAAGAAAAGTGCAAAACTAACATCATCAAACTTTCCCCTTCAGACATACACAAACAAAATATATTCAATCTCATACGGAGTAGAATCATAAGATTTGACATCAATCACTAGGTTAAGGTAGCAGGACAAGTCACACGGGGTCACATTCCTTCTACCCTACGTGACACCCTAGGCCGCGGATCCTGCGGTCTAGGAGGCCGACCGCGGGTCCGCGGCCGAGTTTCTGCGTGGCCGCCCAGGCCCAGACGGGGGCGCGCGCGGGAAAATGGCGCGTGCGCGCGAATATCGCACGTCGGCCTCTATAACCCTGTAAAAAAAA